GAAAACATCAAATATACAGGCTAGTCGGATTCAGAAGAAAACTGATTAAGTGAAAATTCTGACTGTTTTGGGATACGCTACAGAATGTCAACAATAGATTGATAACATGAGGGGCGCTTAAGATTACATATGATGAGCTATCAGTGTCGAGGTGTCGCTGACTGGTAGTGAAGATATAAAAAAGCTTTATGGACGCTCCCTTTTTAGCAGGTATAAAGCCGAAGAACGGTGTCGGATGGCCGACAACCGGCATTTAAGGCGATTACTAGAGGCAAACATGCGAAAGCAGTAGATAGAACTGAGAATTTCGATGAAACGGTGTCACAGTAACTAAAACAAAGTGGCTCCGCTAAAAAAATCGAACAAGTTTCTCGGATGTACGAGAAGCGGTGACTTTCTCAAAAAGAAAAGATGTCGTTTGTAAGCTGAAGCCAAACTGGATGAACCTGGAACTAGCATAGGAAACTTTGGGGGATTTTTCATGAGAGATTAAATGGAAGTAAACTTGATTGAGGGAAAGCAAAAGAAAAACAAGTTGGCAACTGCAGGCATAAAAAGCAGGCGTGATTCGCAGTTCCGCCCACAGACCCCATGGTGCGGACTTTAGAGAGCTGTATTTTATAAGAATAAAAGAATCACGATGAATAGAGAAAAAAGGACTTGATTGAAGTTAAGGAAGAAAGGAAGGGCTTAGTTCTTAGTTCGAGAACAGCGGTTCTATCAGGTCAGTACGCAAAGAAGATCGAAAAGTAAAGTGGGCAGTACTGACTAGCCCCCACAGCCTTACCCAACCCATCTCTGTCAAACGCCAAATGAAGCCCAAAGCGTATTTAGGTACTCTTTTCGTTATAGAAATACGTTCTTCATTATCACGGTTTCGAATAATCAAGAATCATTGCAGTCATTGCCCACTACCACAAGACAGCGGAGGTATCATCGGGTTTCTCTACAGTACTTCATTGTGACACCGTCAGCGATGGCAGATCAGACGACCGCTGAAGACATTTTTATCCAAATAAATAAGCATGTGAAGAAAAAGCAGCATAGTCGCTAGGTAGGCTAGATTAGAGGCACGGATGATTCTGGGCTAAGTGCACGCGGCAGTAGATGGCAGAGACTGTACAGCAACGCTGTACCTCCGCAGAGTATCCCTTTGACTTCAGCGATGATCCAGCAACTTCTACTTTGATAATTCTATCCTCGACTATAGCTAAACTTTAACAAAGTGGAAATGCTGAGATACTGAAGATGTGGACAACAAGCTGGTAGCTGCATCGTGACATTGGTGTTAATCCTTGTAGCCGGTAGTAAGTCTCTGACTTTCTTGATTCCGATGTTGTCGCCTAAAACGGTTATTACAGCGCAAAAATATGGAGCCTTCGGATAACAAAAGCGAGAAAAAAGAATTTATGGATTCATATTCAATTTTTGAATTNAAACAAACTCACTCTCGTTCGGCGACGTGATATTGCTTCGTTTTATACTTCTTATAAGCTTGACAACAGTATATGATGAGAAAGAGAAGAATAAGCATAATCAATATGATTATGAGAGGTAGCAACCACCCATAGTGAACTGAAAAGTAATGCATTTAGACGAATTCGATGTTTTCGACACCAAGTCGTTGACCACATGCTCGATACATTTTGAAATCAATGTGATCATCTACAGTGAGAGGTTTCGATCACTTTGATGGTGACTTTACGGGATTTGAGGGTCCAAGTGAATGGAGCTATAGCCACTATGACGCTAGAGTAGTAAAAAGAAGTGAGAAAGTCCAAAGACGGTTAGCAGTAATCGTATTAAAAGAAGATTTTTCTGAGCTTTTTGTGAGCTCGATCGTTCATCACCATGGATCGTTTTTCGGCAAGTCAGGTAAAAAGCATTAGAAAGACTGGTGTCCCAAATGACAGAGGTACTGATCAAGGCCTATCTTCAAAGGACTCAGAAAAAATATTCAACCTTAAACCTCCCATCATTGGAGCCGTTAAGGCGATGGAAACGATTCAGGTCGACTGTTAGGGGAAGGTGTGGAGGTCAGCAGCAAATATTAGTGATGTTCTGATCGCCACTTTTGGGGAACTACTAGAGAGTCTTATAGAGTTCAATAAAAGGGAGTAATGAAGTCAAACTCACCACCAACTTTCAGCTCGCGGTCGAACTTCACCTCAAACTCCTGTTCTGGTCCATCCACATAAATGGGGAACTGATTCGACGCTACACATCTAAATTAGAGGTAAGATGATCAAAATTGACTCTATTGACGTTAGAATTATTACTGCAGAATTGGAGGAGGAAGGCACTAACAGGAAGTCCCGCTACCTCCAAAACTTACCGGTACATGCCAGCATCAGTCTCCTCTAACCCGAAGATTTCAACAATATTCTTATGGAAATTGACTCGCGCTGAGGGTGCTGGAAATTCTTCCATGACACTCGTTAACAACTTTCTAATCAAGAAACTAACCTAGTGGGAATCCATCCTTGTACCAGACGATGTAAGGATTTGGATATCCATGCACTGGACAAACTAATGTCGCATTGGACTCTTTAGAGAGAGACAACGGTTTTGAGGTGACGAGCGTCGGGTCTGACGGTGATACTTCCATAGGGTCGGACGAGTTAGTAAGAACAACAGGACGAGCTGCAAAAAACGACATGATCGTTTTTGTCGGTAGGTACTGGATGAATGAATGGATGGATGAAAAACAAGTACTCACAGTAGGCGAACATATTACCGAAGACCAATTCGCCATCTTCTGTCCGAATTTCACAACGGTACTTTCCTGCCTGAGAAGCTGTCGCATTTCCGAATACTAGGCGAGCTCGGCGATTATCATGATCCAATCGAGCCTAAATAAGGTTTAGATACACGAGTTAAGCATAAGTGAAGCGCCGAGGCCGGCAGACTGAAAGAAAAGACAGTAAAGCAGTCTTACCGCTACTGCCTTTTTCTCTTTGGTTCGGAAAAATCGAGCCCATGTGATTGGTTGTACTTCTCCGTCCTTTCTTGCTTCACACCTAAATTACTTCGGAACTCTGCATTTTACATTTGAACGGTGTTTCTCAGGGGATCCTGAAAGCTTGAGTAAGCCACCTGAACACAGTAGCCATCCCTATTAGTGAGTTACCCTTTGAAGTAAAGGAATTCGCCTATAAGAAGTGTGCAATGCTCTTCACCGCCTCTATGACGTGCCACCACCTCTAAAAAGCCAGACGTAGAGTGCAGTTGATCGCTGCACGATAAGGGGCCTACGAGAATATATTTCGTGAGCGGTTATATTGAAAATGCAAATTAAATGCAATTTGAAATGGTCTACACATCAAGATTGAAGAATGCAATTACGAATGAAAGTCAGCTCTCGAACAGAGGAGGCCGCTGTGAGCACTCGTTCCGGAGATCTGAACTTGACTCAACAATCTAAGTATCCCATTTCTTACCCCCACAACACGTTTTGGGCAGCTATGGATTTCGATTTTTTCATTTTTGAATGGAAGTTAGATGCATGGCGCACTTAAAACTGATCCACGAATTCTTCTCTGTTCACCTTCTACCCTTGGGCCAAGGCGCAGTACAGAGGGATAAACATAAAAACAATAAGAAAATATTCTCGACCTATTCATAGTCAACTCCTACCCTCTACGAATTTTTCCCCTCCTCCTTTCGAATCAAATTTTTCCTCTTCTCTTTGTCGTTTTTCGTCTCTGCGAAAGAAGTCCATTACAGCTTTCTTAATGTGATAGAATAAGTGGTCCAGTGTAAACAGACGAGGGTTTGACCGAGAACAACGATGGTTTAATGATGAGAGTCGCAAGAAAAGTTGCACTTTTTCCTCTTTCCCTCTTCACAGTCCTCTACTCGAATCTCAGATGAAAGCTCGAGCCCGCCTTCTACTTCTTAGCTATTACTACGTAGCCCGATCACTATTTATCATAGCGAAATCTCTAGCGAATCTTCACGAGCGTACTTCCCTAGAGACTCGAGTTCGAAAGATGGGCGTTGACCTCGCTGATGTTTACTTGGACAAAGACAGGATAGGAGTAGTTTTTCAGCAGAGAAACAATTGAATTACGATTGATTCGCGGAGAGAATGGAAATAGACTACTTCCAAATCTTCAGGAATTTGAGTCTTAAAACCAATAAAAGGCGGCAAAACAAGCGACTGATTGACTTCGCCCGCACAGCGAAACTCTGAAGCGAAAAATTGAAAATTAGCGAACTGTGAAAGCTAAAAAAAAANAAAAAAAAAACTTTCATCCCTATATATTAGCCGAGATACTGAGAGTTGATCACGGATTGGTCAACTCAGAGTCTTGGCTAAATAGGAGGCAATTTTTGACATTTTTTTGCCAACCGTAGTTAGCTAACTAAATATGTATTTACATACGATCAAAGGTATATCAAAACTATCATAGACTGCGTCTTCAAACAATGGAACAAGATACCAGAAACAGCCTTAACTGCTACAATAAGGAATATACAAGAATTGAGTTCTATTGTGACAATGTTTTAGGCCAGACAACCCATCCAACGCTAAAGATAGGCCTTTTTCTGATTAGTCAATGAATAAATGAGCTACATGATGCACAGTGTTAGAGAGCTATTCAGCAAGAACAGGGACTCTCGTAAGAATGCAGCAACTATTAAGCCCAAATTAAGGGACAACGCTGGTAATTTTGAGATTTTGTAAAAATCACTTGCCAGAGGTCCGGTGTCGCTGCTCTGATTGGATCCTCATCGGTGCTAAGAACACCTTGACCACGAATCACCACGGCTAGATTTCCGATTGCCGTTGAGTGTGATGAGGAAGTAACGACACGGGACACATAAAAACCTGAATTTGATCGTTTTCCTACATATCGTAAATTTAGGCCACACTAAAGATATGAGCGCTTCATAAGTTCTTAAATAGCATCCATACCCGATCTCAGTGTGATACGGATTTTTTGCCGAAGAAGGACTTGTTATCAGCCTCACCTCCACCTTTTAAAGGCGCAGTTCGCGATAATTCAATGGGTGGGTATGTCAATGACGTGTCCGCCTCTCATTCGATGTCACGTCAGACAGTCTGACGTGACATCGAATGAGAGGCAGACACGTCATTGACATACCCGCCTATTAAATTATCGCGATCTGTGCCTTTAAACATCAATGCATTTGCTTTTACTCAAGTTCGTTAATTCCTATCGCATTCCTTATTCGACCTAGTAATCGGCTCGTCAGGAAGAACTTCAAAATGAAGATACTTCCACTTCCTCATAGTCTGATGATTTTGATTGGGAAGCGAATTCGTGGCGCATCCAAAACAGCCGCAGAAATCGAGCACTCCGCTGGCTATTTCCAAAATTTTTCTCTGCTACACAGATGCTCTTCAGCCTCGCTATATATGTGAGAAAGGTCCCGAATATAGAACGTGCAGGTATGTCGTGTAGGGGATCATAAATGATCCCGATCTGTGGATCATCGTACTTATATTGAGTGTAAAATGAGCTATTAACACCCTATCCCGCTCCTCCTACCCATACCATTATGTCGGCACGAAAGATTAAGATTGCGGGTGTGNAGAAAGGTCCCGAATATAGAACGTGCAGGTATGTCGTGTAGGGGATCATAAATGATCCCGATCTGTGGATCATCGTACTTATATTGTTCAGAGTGTAAAATGAGCTATTAACACCCTATCCCGCTCCTCCTAACCCATACCATTATGTCGGCACGAAAGATTAAGATTGCGGGTGTGAGAATGGAACTTGGGGTGATGGATGGAGACTGTCTTAGTACGTAATTAATAAATATTGGCTACAGACGGCGCCCGAAACAATGGGACGGAAACACACGGTAGGTGAGGGAGGAAGTCAGCATGTGGGAGATGATAAAGCTAATAGTTAATGATAAAACATCAGAAGTTTGGAATTTACTCACCAACTAGAAATCGTAAGAGCAGAAGCATGCCGGTTCAGCCCAGCGGGTACATCCGCCAATCGACAATCGGCTGAAAAATCGATTTCTCTGATAAGCAGCAACTAGACTTACAAAAAATAACCCGAACAAACAAAACGGAACATGTACGAGAAACCGATAGGGGATTAACACGGGTAAGCAAACGATCGATAATGGTATATTGATGAAGGACGAGTGGGCGGGTGGCCCATAACCCGGGATCAAATGAAAACGAAAAGCTGTTATCCCAGTGGTGTAAATGAAGACTTGCACGCACATCAGCCCACTTCTCCCAGTTCAACTCCGGACCCATGTTAATTTTCTATTTCGATTAAACGGAAACTGGTTTCGATGCTGTAGGAGTATTTAGGAAGAGTGGGGGAGGGAAGAGGGGGGGGGGGGGGGGGGGGGGGGGGGGGGAATGCAATAGGCGGGGAACACGTGGCCATTTCCATTTTCACTAACGTAGTGGCTTACCCTCCCCAACTAAATGCTTTTCGGTTCCCAGTAGTTACTCAGAACACAAGTAAGGTGCTAGGTAATTTGAAGGAGAACTCGAGCAGAATGGGAAAGCACGTTATCAAGAATGATTTTCCAAAATTATCAGAAACAAAAAACAATTGCGAAATATTACATAGCACGGTAACATTGAGATCAAGGATCCATGTCGAAAAAGACCTGGAAGTTCCCACGAAGAAAGGCTACCGTAAGATTTTCAACGAGAAGTCGAGAATATGCTTTTCAATTTGAAAATACACTTCATAACGAGATTTTACTGTCTTCGAGTGGACTGGAAGCCAAAATTGGATAATTGACATGCTGAAGAAATGGTAAATATGACTATTCGAGATTATTTGAGATGTTGATTTCAATAAACAATTACAAAGCCAGAAATATCGCCAGATAATGGTTGTGAAGGTCTGGTAGGGTGGGATACTGGATCATGGGAGCCTTTTAGCCCAAGATAGAAATCGAGATGGAGAAGACAGAGAAGTTGTTTAGGTGAGGGAAGGTTTAAGGAAACGATAGTGAGATTGAAAAGAGCTGGTAGAGAGCTTCGCTCAACTGTCACCCATTAACGTTTACTTTCAGACACTGAACTAGTCAGTAAGTAGAACTAATGAAAAAGATGGCTCAAAAAGAGTTGGCTGTGAAATTGTGAGTGACGCACATTCAGTGGTTGCTTACTTTACTGTGAAGACCTGTTCTGAAAATTTTCAGAAGATTTCACAACTATAAACACAATACATGTGCTCACGAACGGACATTTCGAAATGACTGCTAGAAAGCTGTGACAAAGTAAAAACAACATAAAGTCCACAGGGTGCAACGTATACTGACAGGAAGGGAACAAGAAAGGCCGAAAAAGTTATGACAACTGCTCAAGAAAAAAAGCTCCATCTGTAGACTGCTCTTCAAAGAGTTCCCCTGGGAAGCAACCTTCACTTAAGGAGTTCGACAGTAATGGTCTATAAAAATGCACATGCTCTTCCACAAAGCGCTCATAAAATCGCATTCAAAATAACTCATAAAATCCGGGAGCTTCAAAAATCTTCCGAAAGTATATGGCGGTACATAACAGGTGTGCCAGGCATATACATATGTCCATCGAATGATATGGTGCTCCCTTCAAAGGAGCTTTGTTCCATGACCGGTAGAGAAGCTTGAAAGGCTATTTAGTCTCGAAGTAGTTGGTGAAGGAACTATTTTAATCGGCAGTACTGGAACTAAAACTAAAACTACAAATCCCGAGGAAAGATCTATTCAGAGGAGCGAGAGCATTATGTAGGAAGACTAGCAGAAAAAAGGCTTCGTAAGTGCCGCAGAGAGCAATCCGTGATCAGTGGTCAACAGCTTCACAACACTAGCTCAGTTGGAGTGGGCACTAAATCCTACATCGAGACGAGCGATATATTATGCGTACTTTGAATTGTTTTCGACTTTGTCAATAGCTTACTACTTCAACGAATCGCTTAATCTTCTGACGACGTTCGAATCTCGAACAAGTCTCGAAAACACCAGAATTCAAGAAAAACAAGTGAAAGGGTACATAGTTCGCAATATTCTGTCTCTCGAGATGGTAGATGAGAAAGTAATTTTTCTTTGGAATTTGCTTATCAGTGTTGTTGTTGCCCACACCTTTGAAATCTAACGCTGGATTAATATCTAATGA